CCCCAAAACCCCAAAACCCCAAAACCCCATGATTATCTTATTCTTAAAATATATTTAAATTTTAATATTAATTGATTTATAAATAATAAGTTAATTAGGATCTCGATTATTTCATTTGCTTTTTTCGTTCACTTATCATACTCAAAAATACTGGCAACCTTTGATCTTTCCTCTACAGAGAGGTATCTGAGATGTAGACTGAATATTCCCTCCTTACTGATCATGATGCTTACTGCTTTGGGGAATTTATGCATGGTAATAGCTTCAACATTCTCGCCTACTTTTATTGCAAGGATAAAGCAGCCTACTGTCTAGTTTGATATCTCAGCCCTAAGCTTTTCACTCTTAATTTCATCCAATTCCATAGATTTAGCCATTAAAAATTGCTTGAATTCTTCCTCGTTAGCTGCGTATATTAGTCTCCTAGTCATGTATGGGATGACATTCAAAGCTCCATCCTGACTGATACGGAAGATGCACTCTGAGGTGCTTCCATACTTGCTAGTGTTTCGTATGAACAGTTACACTCCCATATTAATGATGTTTAGATTATGAGTATTTACATCTGAGTAGAGGAACTTAGATACCTGGGAAGAAATGAAAAATAGCTTCTTCATGTCGCTTGACTATGTTACAAGCTAATCAATTGGGAAATCATCAGTCAATCCGTAATAGCCTTTGATCCATTCGATATCTGAATCCTTTAGCTCACATCTGGTGAATTCAAATGTACAATGTTTGCTTTTTTGCTGTATGATTCTTGAAAGTTCGGTTTTAGTTGATATTTATTGTGGGGGGTTGACTATGTTTTACTAGAATTTATTCTCTTCTTACTAAGGTTTAGAAGTATCAATTAGTGAGTCAAAATCTTTGATTTTTCTTATAATGGTTATAAAGAATCCGCTAGTGTTCTAATCATGAGGGAATACTCTCAAGCAATTTACTAGTTGTTTTCTAATTTATTCGTCATAATGATTTGCAAACATAGTGTCTTTGATACCTTTGTGTATATAATCTTGAGGTACATTTTCAATAGAGTCAAACTCAATGAATGGAGACTGATTGGCACCTTCAGTCTTATCTTGGTTTTTTATCAAACTCATCACTTTCCAGTCTGTAAGGCCTTCTCTGAATTTAAATCCTTTCACTTCAACTTTGACTAACTCTATGCAGCCAGCGAATTTCTTAAGTGCAGAAGCTACTACACTCTCATCTTCAACAGGATTCAAGGAGCATGTCGAATATGAAATCTTGCCTCCAACTTTTAAGAGTTAAAGACCTCTAAATAGGATCTTAGCTTGTAACACATGAAGTGATGCTCCGTCATTGGTATTCCATTTTTCCCATTTCTGTGGGATCTTTCTGATAGCAGCATCTGATGAGCAGGGCACATCACAGACTATTCTGTCGAATCTCACTCTAGTATCAAGTCCCTCAGGTGTTGCAGGCTAATGTTACAATTGATAATACAGATTAGGGAAATTCTAAGCATTATGATTCAATATCAAGATGTCTATAGTTTGATTAAAGTTATAAACTGTAATTTTTACTTGAAGTATTAAGTCTGTTCATCTGATGAGTTAACATATATGCTCTTTTATTATCTGCATCATTGGCTACTATAAATCCCTAGCATTCTTGAATATTAGAGCCTTTACCTCCACCGTAGAGTTAATCACACATTAATATCTCAAAAATCTAAGCAGTTTTACTTCCAGGGGCAGCGCACATATCGAATACAGCATGATTAGCCTAAATGTCCAACAATAAAGGTGGAAGCATAGAGACTATTTCTTGCCTAGTTAATAGTCCAGCATCATTTGACTACTGTATAAGCTTATGAACTGCTTTGAGTCCAACATTCTTCTTTAAGAGTTCTCTTGGTACAGTCAATTCAAACAAGATATTGCCAGGTGGGTAATAGGGCTTTTATTCTAAAGCAATTTGAGCTAAGTCTAGGTTAGCATTTCTGATCCCATCTGGTCTTTCGGTTCTTTAATTCATATCTAAGTTCATTACCTCCTTTTAGGCGATCTCATCTGTTCTACTGTAATGACTCTCAATAAACTTTGGATCTGAGAAGATCTTAATCACTCTCTCGTGATGCAACTCAGTCTAGTTTATCCTGAATGTTACTGGCAGCTTCTCCTATAAGATCTTTGTGAACTCAATAAACTCTTCCTCTCCCATATATGGAAATTGCTTTTTATAGTATTCATCGAATTTAGCACTACCTATAGCATAATCAATCTACTTGTAATCTCCCTCTCCATTTTTATGCTTTGCTTTCTAGCCATCTGCATTACTTGCCCAGTATTCGAACTTTCTTTATTGCTTCTGTCTCTTTTTATCTTTAGTTTGTTGCCATTTATTATATTTCTTTTCTTTATTTCCATCTTATTTCTGGACTGATGCCTACTACTCAATATTTTTAGTTTCCTCCATTCTATATTTATTAAATAACCAAATCGTCAGAATTTTATTTTAAGTATTTTGATAAGCCAATAAAATTGAGTGACGGGGTTTTGGGGTTTTGGGGTTTTGGGGTTTTGGGG